CAAGTGCAGTCGCTGACTCTACCAGAGTGTTGGAACCATTGCAGTGGCTCCGACAATCCCGCAGACCTTACTACTAGAGGAGAATCGGCTAGGAGGATTCTTACAAGTTCTCTGTGGTGGTCAGGCCCTGTTTGGTTGTCTAAACCACTTTACTCGTGGCCTCTTCAAGAATCGCTACAACATTTTAATGACATCTGTGATGAACGCGTTATAGTGAAAGAGCGACGGACTGCACTGGTTAATTCCATGGTAACCAGTTCAGCTAATGGAAACTTACCTATGTCGTCGTTACTGGACGTTAATGACTTCAGCGAATTAAGTAGATTACTGCGTGTTACTGCTTGGATTAAAAGGTTTGTGCACAATTCTAAACCTAATTCTACAAAATTAAATGGACCTATATGTGCTCCAGAACTCGAGCAAGCTTTGCGTTTTTGGATCAAAGCTACTCAATTCAAACATTATAGTACAGAAGTTACCCAACTTCTTTCTAAAGGAACTATCGATAAGAGTTCACGCATATTTAATTTGAATCCTGAACTTGATGATAATAACTTACTTTGTTTAAAGGGACGTTTACAGTTTTCAAGTAACGATATGCGAGCCAAACATCCTTGGCTTCTTCCATCTAATGATAAATTTGTTGAACTACTTATCTGTGATTCTCATACTAAAATGTGCCATTTAGGTGTTGATGCAACTTTAACACATTTACGAGAACAATTCTGGATTGTTAAAGGTCGTCAATTTGTGAAAAAAGTGTTAAATAACTGTCTGATTTGTAGACGATTCAAAGTGAAATCTGGAATGCAGGTGGTTGCCCCTTTACCGCCTGATAGAATTCAAGAGCATCCACCATTTGATGTATGCGGTGTGGATTTTGCCGGACCATTTTTTGTTCGTGATTTTAATTCAAAGTGTTATTTACTTATATTCAGCTGTGCAGTGACAAGAGCTATCCACTTAGAAGTAGTTCTTAACATAAGTGCTGATTCCTTTTTGTTAGGATTCCGACGATTTGTTTCTCGTCGAGGATTATGTTCCACTATATATTCTGATAACGCCAAAGCTTTTAAAAAAGCAAATAGTGAATTGAAAAAATGGTGGAATCAGATAGATAATGATCAAGTTAAAAATTTGTTTGCTTCTAAAGGTATAGTTTGGAATTTTATAGTTGAAAAAAGTCCATGGTGGGGAGGTTTCTGGGAGAGACAGATACGGACGGTTAAAACCTGCTTAAAGAAAATTGTTGGACGATCCTCTCTCTCTTTGAAGGAATTGGAAACTGTTTTTTCGGAAATTGAAGCTCTGGTTAATTCCAGGCCTATCACGTATCTGTACAACGAACCCTCAGAACCCTCTCCACTCACCCCATCTCATTTTCTTATTGGTAAAAGATTGGTGTCTTTACCTGTAATAAAACATAAAAATGAAAATTTAAATGTTAATAGGAATTCTTTGGTAAAGAAATATAAATATCAGCAAACACTTTTGAATCACTTCTGGAACAGGTGGAGAAAGGAATATTTACTTAATCTAAGATCAGCTTATATTTCTCCACAACCAGGTAAAATAGTTTCATTTAAAGTGAATGATATTGTTTTGATTAATGATGAGCGTTATCCCAGAAATATGTGGATGATGGGAAAAATTTTAGAGCTATATCCAGGAAGAGATGGAAAAGTTCGTTCTCTTCTTATTCAGACTCCTAAAGGACAAATAAAACGCTCAGTACAACTTGTGTATAATTTGGAAATTAATCCTTAATTGTGTTAGTTTAATTGAGTTGCAACCTGTTAATGTTCTATCTGTGTATTAATGATAGTTTAATTGTGCTTATATTTTAATGCTTGATATTTGAACAATTTTCTTTGGAAGTTAAAAGTGTAATTGGTTTTTGTATGTTAAGTCACTGAATAATTTTGAAGCTTTGTATTTGATATAATATGCTATTTATATTTTTATTCTTGTAATTTTAAATGGTTCCTGAATGTAAATTTAGTTGAAATTCAATGGTAAGTGAACTCAAGTGAGTTCAGGTGGGGAGTATTACGTATTTCCAGCGTCATTCTGACTAGAGGGCGCTGCGTTCGTCCTAATAGTCAGTGGCAGGCAGGATACTAAAGGTGTAAGACGTGGAAGGCAGAGATGCCTAATAATATATCTCTAATTGATTGAAATTTTCGTATATTTTCTTGTAAATAAATGTTGTTATTGTTAACAAAACCTCTTATTATCTCTTGGATGCACCTTTAGTCTCACAGAACATTAGAGCAATTACGATAACTCTTACTTTTAATTTTTTTGTAAAATAAAGCCGAAATCCTATGAAAATTTTCTCTCCTTTTTAGATTGATTATTTTATGAAATCAGAATATAATAGTTGGAAAAAACTAAATTATCAGGGATAAAGCTTGAGTGAAACTAAACTGCTCTGAACCAAGCATTCATCTTGATGTGTCGCATTCTTGCTTTAGCTTCTGCTGTAGTTGTTGTTGGTTCTCTGCTGCTGCATTTTCTTTATTCCTTTAAAATCAATTGTTATTAGTGATGTAGAATGGACAAAAATGGGCACATAAGATTATTGCTCATTTCTCTATTGGAGTTAAGAATTGTTTTGTCCCCCCTTTTTCCCACAAAATGCTGAAACAACAGTGATTGAAACTACTACTTTATGCATTTCCTTGTCACATTATTACATGGGTATAATAATGTAGAAAATAATGCAAATAGATCTTGAAGCGTACGCAGAAGATTCATAATGAAGAACAAGCTTAACAGCCGATGCATCTTTAAGTATCCATTTTTATTTTAATTAACATTTGTGGTCACAAATAACTTTGCAGGCTAATTGTGCTTGTTTTAAATTATTTAAATTTTCGAGCGGAGGACTACGTTATTCAAAATGTGATGTCTCTAGGTGTCATTGTTTTGAGGTAAGAAACGTAGCAAGTAGCAGTCTAGCTAGGTGAGGAGTAGAAGGACAGTGCATCATCCAATACTGAGGTTTAATTTAACAGGAGAAAGTTTTCAGTTTGAAAATTTTTGACTCTGAATTCAAAATTAGGTTTATAATCCAGCATTATGGAAAGGCGAAACGTCCAGATTAAAGACTCAAGTGGCTATTGCACATTTAAAATGTAATTTTGGTTGACTTATTTTATTATTTTATCTTACATATTTTTGTATATATATGATAAAAATACATAAAGGAAAACTGTAATTTGCAGCAGTGCCTGGGCTTTCCATTTGAATTTGGCGATTTCTCCTTCCCATTGTAAAAATACCAACTACTTCATAATAAATTATGTTGTATCGAATAATTATAAAATTAATGCTCCTGACATGTTTCTTACAAAATGCTAATAATGCAGATACTTACTTAACACTTCAGTCAATAATAATTTCAAATTTGTATATCAAAATTTAAAATGGATAATAAGGATAAAGCGAAACTTAAGCTCTTGAGTGCATGACTACCTTTATCCAGTTATGATTTTTTTACCCTGCTTTATTATACTGAAAAGTTTTATATCAGTTCATGGCATTTTTCAATATATGAAAGTCGTCAACAATTTATTTATTTTAAAAGAATAAATAGGTGTTTCTGCAAATAAAAAGGAAATTCATTATGGAAGCAAAGCATGCCATTCTGAAATTAAGGAACCGTGAAAAGGTCCTTGCGTTCCTGACGAAATGGGAATGTCATTCGCTCTTGAAATTGATAGTTTTATTAAATGTCTAGGTTATTCTAAGGTTTCTCTTCCTAATTTTACAAGTTCTGAAAAATTAAATTTTTATCAACAACTCATGCAATTTGCATTCTAAAAATTAATTTTTGGGAGGAACTGTTAGTAAATTTCTACATAACTAAAGTAAGCAATCATCAAGTTTGGAACTAAAGTAGGCAATCACTGCAGTAATTTAATATTTGCTTGATCTATATACAGTCAAAAGTCGTTAATTCGGACACCCATAATTTGGAATGATCTATAATCCGGACCTCAAAGCTAAAAACTTTCTGCGCATGCGCTGCGTTGACACATGCGCATAGGCGTTTATGCGTGCGCGTAAGACCTTTTACGACTGCGCATATGAGTGTGTGCAAGCGCAGAATACGTTTTCGCGTGCGCGTTTTATGTATAATGGATGGTATAAGCTAAAATTATCTAATTATCAATTTCAGTTAATGTTGATGATTGCGTTGTTCCTTAATTTTCGAATTGGATCGGCTTATTATTTTTTTTGCAGACTGTTAGAGCAATTTACTATAAAAGTAAACGCTTGAACTTTCGATTATGTCAAATAGAATTTCCGATTCTGGAGCTCCCAAAGGATCGTACAAAAACGAAAGTATGTTTCGATGTCCATTCAAACAAAAAGTGGAGGAATTGCTGCAAAAAATGGGTAAAGACATGAAGAATGTGACAGAGAGGTTAGTAAAAACGAAAAATTTCGATTGACAAGTTAGTCGGTATTCTCGGCACAGCAATTAACGGGACTTGAACAGCGGAACTTTGTAACTGAACAAGAAATTATGTCTGCTTATAGAATTAAAGAGAAAGTATTATCACATAAAACGAAGCAACTTAAACAACTTACATTGAAAGAAATGTTTAATAAAGTAAACAAATAAAAATATTAAGCTTTTTTTTTTTTTTGTAAATTTTGATACCCTTTAGATCATAATTGTTCTTTATTTCATAAATTACGGTTTCATATTTTTAATTTTAGAATTTCTGCATGCCATCTTACGAGATTTAAACTGATGATCTATAATCCGGAATCCCCGAAATCCCGACGAGTCCGGATTAACGACTTTTGACTGTATATATCTTCTGTTTTTTTAACAAATAATTCTAAACTATAAAGTAAATTTTAAACGCAGGTACATAAAGAAAATAATATGGCCTTTTTATGTGTTTATAAGTAAATTTTAAACACAAGAAAGAGGTATATTATTTTCTTTAATATAATTGTATACCTTGTTAATTTCTTTTATTAAATGTTATAATGAGACTCTTCATTTAAAAATATAATGTCTGTAGGTTCTGCAAGCTGTAAATGCCTGTAAAGATGAGCAAGGAATTAGTACCTTCGATTTGTACAGTAGTTTGAAATCCCTTAATCGGCAGTCCATACAGTAAGAGCTGTTTTATTTATTTTTTCATTAATTGTAATTGAGATTTTCTTGTAAATATTTACCTACTGTTTATGAACGTCAACTTATTAGTATTGCAAAATATTTATAAATATTTTAGAAACTTCAAATATAAGTCTGTGATAGTTTTTGAATATTTTTGTTGGGTTGCATGTATAAAATAAGAAATCTTTTAAAAAATAGTATATGATATTTTTGTCGAGGATAATGTATAATTACATTGTTTAGCACTGACTTTAAAGCATTGACCCTCACGCATACCCTTTAGCTTTCTATCTATTGTACTGAAAGTGGCATATGTTTGAAAACTGGGATGCTAACATTTCCTTTTTTCAGTAGTTGAAATTTTTCCCATTTGCTTGATTATCTATCATTTTATTCAATTGTTTAGTTTGGAAGCATTATATGTTTTGTATTCATTTTTATGTAAGCTCGTTTCAGTCATAGTTTAATATGCTTGGAAGGCTTTAAGTCATAAAAGTGAAGTTAATGCTTGAAATCACTAATTATTGTTATTATTATTATTAAAGTCTTCTTAAGTATTTGTTAGGAATTGATCAGTATTTGCTCCTCCAGAAACATTTGGAAATCTACCCATGGAATTATGCAAAAAATTCAATTTTGAAATATTTTGGTAACTGTGATAAAGTGATATAATATATAGATAGCTCTTTAATGGATACTGACATGAAAATAAAGGCTATTACATTGTTTCCATAGACAGGTATGAATTCCATGACCATGTCAGAGCACTTTTATTTATGACCAGAAAGTGTATTATGTTTTTACATCAAAAATTTCTATTGTCTTTTTTCCCTTTGTTAATCTCTAAACTGAATCGAAGGAAATTTATTAAATACTAATATATACCTTTTGAGGAATATATAATTAATTAATAAGTATATAATTATAACTATATAATTAAGTATAGTTAATTATATAGTATATAATTAAGTAACCTGAAGTACCCTGAAGATACAAGAATTATTCTTTGGTTATGATTATCTATTATTTATCCAGAGTTAAGTTGAATCAGAGCCTTCAGGAAAGAGATTTTTCTATCTTTTACTGCATACAGGCCATTTCGGCAGGCCATATAGGCATTAAATCTGATGAACGTACCTACATTACTGTTTAATGATTTAACCAAGTCATTCCACTTTGAGACATCAAATAAGTTGTCAGATTTACAATCCATATAAAATGGCAACATATATGACACATACAGGTTGGTAATAAATTTAGAATTGTCAAACCCTGGCTAAAGAATTGAAAATTGACTGATAATCACAAAGATGAAGTCCTTTTGGCTCGGTAGTCTCAGTGACTGTAGGCTGACTCTGACACTTAATGAATGGTGACAGTTGAAAGATTGTAAAATTATGCAATTGCTTCTAAATATTATATTGATTTTTTATTTCTATTTCATTGTATAAAAGGATAATAATGTTTTATAAATATAGTTCAACTATTTTTTTTATTCTGTATATTTAGCATCTTGGACTCATATATTTGATATCTGTATGTGGTAATTTTTTTTAATCTAGTTTACAGTTTTGCATTGTATATATATATATATATACAGTCGATTCCGGTTAATCGGACCACATCGGGATGCGATCGTATTGGTCCTAATAACCGGCTGGTTCGATTACACGAAAATGTCGTGTGTTCTAAGACGGGACGTGCTATATGTAGCAAACAGTAATGTAAATCATGTAAATGTAAATCATGTACTAAAATGTAATTATGACCTTTATTGTGTAGTACACACGAATGACAAACATACACGTACAAACAAGAACTACAGTCAAACTTTTTTCATTGAGAAAATTAATTTAGAAACAAATTCTAAGAAACGATCTCCACGATACTCAACATGCGAAGCACAATAAAAACAATTTCTTACCAAGTTCCAGTCAACATTTGAAGAACTTATCCGATGTGATCTGACGCGTTCTCTTGGCGGATTGCACGTGAATGAAATAGCCATAAACATCTAACGCAGCAATGAGATGCCTTCATTTCCCTCCTGCGTGAAATATCGACGCAAAGTTTCAATGCATTTCCTCGTTTCCCGTGTTGTCACTTGCACCAACTTATTAGCGGCATCATCACTTTCTTCTTCTCCCGATACTGTCGTGTGTTTTGCTGCAACTCGAGCAACGATTGCAGCGTCATAATCTTCATTTTCATCATAGCATTGAAGCTCGTTGTCACTGGATAAAAATTCTTCACTATTTTGTACCTGTTGAAGTTCCACATGTAAATCATCATTTTCACTTTCAATGAGCATGCCCACATCCATCTCCAAGGATCTCCTGCTTAAAGCCACAGTGAGAAAAATAGTTCTGAATTGTCTCACTGCTCACTTTTCGCCAGCTGTCGGCCACAAATGTAACTGCTTGTAAGATGTTGACCTTTGCACTGACTTTTGCTGGCTTTTGATGATGAGGTCAGCAAACTTTCTTCAGTTGCTTCAAGGATGTAATTAGCCAACTTTTCACGATAAAGGGTGTTCAAATTTTTGATGACGTCCATGTCTATTGGCTAGACCAAAGCTGTGGTCCTGGGAGGTAGAAATTCCAGTTGGACGTTCATCAAGCAATCTAAATGAGGATGTGCTGCACAATTATCAAGAAGAAGCAGCACTTTTCTCGACTGGCGTTGTAGCACTTTGTCTCAATTCTTCAGCCATTCTTTAAAAAGTTCAGAGGTGATACACAACTGGTAAACTCTCCATCCTAAGTCCTTTAAAGCAGCAAGGCTTGATGCTTTTTCCTATAACCAACAGCTTCCTCTTGTCCGTTCCTGACATGTTTGAGCAGCACAAGACAGTTACGCGATCCATCGCATTTTTGGAGCCAGAGAGAGTGCAACTTGTTCATTTATGGGAAAGGTACCAAAATAAATTCCTCTTTGATCAAAAAATATAAAAATAGAAGAATATGAATCATACTGAATAATATGTAGCCGCTATTTGATTATTGCAGGATCAAGCAAATAAAACAATTTATTCAATTTAAAGTAAAAATATTATTTAGTCAAAATAATTATGTTTTGCATGTTGTTTAATGGAAATATAATCTTTTTAACTCTATAGTATTTGTTGAAGACATGCAGGAAGAAAGATCCATTCATCCAGATGGTCTGGATGAATGGATCTTTATCCAGACTGTGATTATTATTGTATCAGTTCTGTTGTATTTAATTATAAAAAATGAAGTTATAATACATTTCTATTTTTTAATGGTAATATATTAATCTTTGAAACACACTGCTGAAAACTGGCATATTAAACTCAACATCTGTAAGTTTTCAAGTATGAAAAATTCAAATTCAAATTTAAAGATTGGGGTAAACAGATTATGTAAAGGTAATGTTTTAAATGTCTGTTATTAATTCCACTTGTCAAAAAATAAATTATGTTTGCCTGATTTATGAGATATATTTTTTATATTTTCAGGGAAGCTTTAGAATTCTTGAGTAACGAGGGCCACATCTATTCTACTATAGATGAAGAGCATTTCAAGTCTACTGATTGTGTATAAGCTGCATACAGTTTATATTGTTTTGAGTGTAATTTTATTATATTTTGGTTATATTAAATGTGTATTTTCCAGTGGTATTTTTATCTTAAAATTCATTCATAATTACTCCTGATAAGAGGTAGTTTGATACTAAATTATTAGCAGGCAAGTGTGTTAAATCAGTGATGGCTTGTTGTTTAGTTAGCAAAATTTATTCATATTCGCCTTGGATTCATGTTCACAACTTTAACCATCTTAGAACTATTGTCAAGACTTGTTGAAAATATCAATAGCAATATGATTGAAAAATTGATGAAGTTTACATGAGCACTTTAAAGGTTATCGTTAATTTAGGCTTTATATTTTGAGTTTATAAATACTTCCTCAAAAGGTATACTCCAAACAGCAGTTTAATTTCTTTCCACAGTCGTATAGTTTTTCTGTTTGCAAAACTGTTTACAGAGCTGATTTGAAATTAATTCTACAGGAATCTGAAAATAACCAATGTTTCTTTGCATAAGATGTAATACTAAATATCTGCTAAATGTAAATATTGTACAGCTCATCAGCCCTAAGCCAGAACTTAGAATATGGGCTGTACAATATATAGCCCTCAGTGGCTCAACAGGTGGCCATACTGATATAGATATTAATAATTGTTTTTAGAAAGGCATGTTAGTTTTATATAATGATTTAATTTTTTTAATCAAAACTGTATTCATGCATGCAATAAATCATTGTTAATTATCTCATTCAGTAAATTATTTCAGCTATAGTTAGTTACAAAGTAGTTCAAATCATCTCTGCTATTAAATAATGAAGAATCTGCATATGTGTATGTTCTAAGTTTCTGTAATTGTGGAAAAAACAATGGCATCAATAATGATCAAAATTTAATCAAATGTAGCCAATTACCTGAAAATGTGCACCTCGAAGCCCCCCTTTTTTTGTTTGTTTCATATTTTGTACAAATTTAATGAATTTTTGATTAATAAACTCGACTATTTGAAATAAAACACTTTTTTTTCTCCAATGAATGAGACTTACCATTCAGCAAAATATAAGCTATTAGTATCAACAAACTTAACTATTTAAAAGCCGTGTGTTGCCAGTGCCTGAAATAAAATACTTTTACATTCCATGTACCAGTATGTTGCCATCCACTCAAGCATAAAGCATAAAGTATTTAACTTTCAAATTTATTTTGCTACTGAGTAATAAACAAAGTTATTTAAAAAGCAATAAATGCAACTATAACTATTCTAGACACCTAGGTGTGCAAGTGGCTAATCATTTAAATAATAACATGTATTTAAAAGGTAATGCAGTGGATCAATCCGATCCCTTTCATTAATTATCCTAGTAATGTGGTAAATGTAGTCAACACTTATGCACTTTTTGACTTTCTCATTAAATTTGCGATGATACTGCCAATAGGAACAATCGAGGCAACTTTAGCTGAAGGGCTTTGCTTTCTATTATAGTGATTTTTGGAAACGCTGCATGATCGCCATAGAGACAAAACCTCACCATGCAATTTGCAGACCTCATCCAGTAGGGAATCCAATTTAGAATTATTAGATACACTGGCAGATACAGGTGAAGAAACTGCACTTACCTGAGCTGGTGTAACTTCCAACATTTTAGCAGCAATGCTGGCAGCTTTCGAAGAATCGAGCGGCTCAACCGACGTTAGGATAGATTGAACATATGGCGGCATATGCTGAATGAATAACTCTAGTAACAATGAGTCAGCTATGTTGTGTTTTTCAGCACGCTTTTTCATGACACGAAGCAATTCGGATGGTTTTCTGTCTTCAAGCTGCTCCCCTGCTAGTAAATTTCGAATTTCCTTGGTGCTGCTTTCCCCACATCAATCAGAAATGGCAGCTTTCAGGTCTACATAAGAAGAATCTGTGCATTGCCAAAGTATGATATCTCGAATCAAAGAGGCAATCTCAGGTGGCAAATGCACAATGCAATAGTTGAATTTTGTGTTAGGATCTGTAACAGGCTTGGTCGCAGCTGAAGCAAACGTTGATTCACATATAGCAAAACACAATGCCGGGTCAATAGGGATTGTAAATTGGTATTTTCATGGCAGCTGTTTCCTCCATGGCAGTGGTTGTAGGGAAGAACATGAATGTCCTGGAACCAAGATCCTGAAGCTTTATGCGTGTAGATGGATCGCCAATTATGGTATGTGGGTGGTTATGGCTCAGTAAATGTTCTTAGAAGACATGACTCCATTTTGCTAAAACACAACTTTGTTGACACACCTATTCATTAACACAACTATTCATTAAAACTGAAAACTTCTAGACAAATATTCGAACATCTTTACACTCGAGCTAAGGGCAATGCGTGTGAATTCGTTGGTCGCACTGGCAGTTTTTACGAAAACAACACGTTGTCATCTGGCGGCACACGCAGTCGAACATAAGACTGCCACAATTTCTAGTAGTGACTTTAAAGACGCTTGTTTTTAATTTGGCTAATCGGTGAAAATTGTAGCATTGCATTAGAAAACGGGAAAAAGCATTATGAAAAAGATAAAGGAAGTTAATTTGTTTACTGTGTATAAGATGACATAGCCTATATTAATGCAGAGAAACATATTTTTGAAATCTTTGGCCTCTTGTTAAATGTAAAGATTCTTCAAAAGGAAGAAAAATCTTGTCAGTGTAAATAGTAATGTATTGCATCGTTTCTTAAACTGAGGATTTCATGGAGATCACTCTGGAGTTTTGCGAAACTTACATGCTTCCTCCCGCATAGCACTCAAGAAAGTAAAGGAGAAAAAAGCAGTAAAAATTGCAAATTTAAAACAAACAAAATTAAAAAATTTTACCCTATAAAATTTTAAAAAATACAATAAGAATTAGTGACACATTTCCTTTTCTTGAGCTTCTTTTTCCTGCTTCTCCTTTCCCATCTCTTGTGATCATCGTGCGTTCCATCAAGCGATTTGCATAATCGATTCGGATAGTTGGAATTCAGATAATTGGAGTTGTACTGTACCAGGTGTCGGGAGAGAAACTATAAGTATCCATACCCCCAAATTTCCTTATGTCCCCCCCCCTTTTTTTTTTTTTAACTCTCTCAGCATTGTTAGATGTAAAATTCTGTATTAAAGGGTGTTTTTTTAATTCATTACACGTGAAAATTTCTGCCAACTTTTAATGTATTCTATTTCGGGTTGGTTGTAAATTGGAAACACAGGAATCAAGGTACAAAGTGAGTGAATCGTTTTTTAATTATAATCAAGAAAGTACCATTTATTCATGACATTTTGAGGAACTTTAAAATTTCAGGTCTAAAACCATAATGCTCAGAGGGTTAAATAGTGACAGTTTTAGGCAAAATTTTATATATTTATTCACTTTTTTAAAATGCATTGTTAAAAAAATTGCTTTATTTTTTTCTTGTAGCACTGGATACTGAATTTGTTGTGCCTATTGTAGACCATAGTTTTCCATTATTGCCCATCCTTGTGCACTGAGGAGACCTTAAAAATTGTTTTTTAAAGTGCAGTAAGAGTGCATTGAGAAGTAAGCAAACAATTAGAATATGCTTGCAAAATCTGGTTGTCACTTTTGAAACAAGCATTTAAATATTCCTTGATTGTACGAAGAAAAATCTAAATATACTAAATCATATCATTTGACACTTCAGTTAATTTGTATGTAGTTTCATTTTTCTATTCGAAGGGATCAGAATTAATAAACTATGAGTCTTAATTTTCTAAAATTGTGATCACATGACTTTGAATGTTTGGTTTTATTACAGATTTAAAGTTAGATCCAGTGTACTCAAGTAGTATGTACTTTCAATATGTAACCCTGTATATTATATGGCAGAAATCTATGTTCTAAGATATTTTTCATGTTCATTACTACATGTAGGAATCTTTAATTATTACCATTCTGTTTCCATTACCATTCTGTGTGGTGTAAGTTTAATAATTTGATACAATATGAATGCCATAAATTCATGCAACTTTATGAATTTTCAGTCAGTGGATGCATTCAAAATCATGTAACAGATTACATTCAAAAAACATCTTTCATTGTTGCTGGGGCAATGGGGTGTTGAACAAAGTAAATCTTATAGATGGGGCAGGAGCTAGAAAACATTGTGAGACTATGATGTAGAGAAAAATAACTAATATTTAACACTAAATATCTTCATAACTTTGATTAAACTATGCACTTCATTAGAAAAATATTCTAAAGCTTTAATATATGAGATGGGAGTTAAAATATCTGATGACAGTATGGAATTTATGAACAATTGACATATCAGAACATAAAGCTTCATTTTCTCATATTAAAATGAGAAGATGTGCAAAAAATTATTTTTTAATACCAATTTTTCTATTCCTAATTTTCTATCACATATATGCTATTCTTTGTCATGCTGTTAAACTGCTGATATAACTGTAATGGGTTTTGACACGATCGGATGTAAATATTTTGTAATTACGTCATAAATATGCATATAAATGTATATATTTTCTTTTTCTACAATACTTCACAGTCCTAAGTATATGAAAAGAATACATTTTAAAAAAACATTTCATTTTGAACGGAATTAAATGCTATACTTTTCACAGAACAGTTTGCTCAGAATGATTTCATTTGAATGAAATATTTTCACAAGTTTTCGTTAATTACATTGGAAAGAAGTTTTAAGGTAATTCTATTTTATTCAGTTAAGGATTGCAAAAATTAAGATCAAAGTTTATTGTATTATTAATATTAAAATTATGCATTATTTCTTTTCTATTTATAGAGCTTCTTCCTAAAATACTTTCTTAAATATGATATGATTTTTTGGCTTCTGAGGCATCTTTTAAATCGAAAAATGAAAGTCAATTTATAATTACTGCTCTATTCGGTTCATTTTAAATTAGAGAGTTATTAGAAATTAGCGAAATACTTTAAGTAGTACTTAACTTTCTCTGAACATTTCTGAAAGGGAATGAAATAAGGATTTTTTTTAAAGTATTATTTAAAACTTGTAACTGAGTTATTGTAAAATGTAAGGGGAATTATTCTTTTAATTGTACTTATCAGATTTTTTTTACCATTAATTT